AAAAAAAAAAAAAAGCCCCGATCGGCGGCACTTCAGCGGCAGCTCTACCGCCGCCGCTTCATTTTTTGGCAGCGATTCGGCGGCAGGGACCGAGAGGGACCAAGGGACCCGCCGCCGAATTGCCGCCAAAGACCCGGACGTGCCACCCCTTTGTGTTGACCACCCCAAGCACCTGCGCTGGTGCCTGGAGCCGGCCCTGAATATGGGACATTGTGGGATGGCTCCTGAAGGCTAGTAACAAGTCGACGTACGAAATGCAGTGTCTACACTGACACTGCGTCGACCTAACTACATCAACTGTGATTCTATGCTGCTCGGGGAGGTGGCATTACTAAATCAGCATAGAGAGGCACTTAAGTCAGCAAGAGCCAAATTCAAGCGAAGACACTTCCATGGCGAGGTTGGCACAAGGCAGCGAACATCAAGCTAACCGCGTAGTGTAGACTAGGCATAATAGACGAGCTGTTGGTGGGGAGAAGGGCATCAGTAGAAGAGTTTCTCCATTGTGCATCTTTCAACATGCTCAGTGTGTTTGCAGGATTATTGTTTGACAAGGCCGTATAGCTCCTTCCTTTTGATCACAGTACACTTTGGTCTCTCTCTCTCTCAAGAATTAATTACTTGATTATATTTTCTCATTGCTGAATCTTGAAAGCAGATGCACAAGGTAGCAAGTCAATAGTCTGTCAGCACATAAAGCAAAGCACTAGAGCAAACTCTTGCCAACAAAGAGTAGCTGCACAAAAAGTCTTCTTATTCTCAGTGACTGAAACACTTTTCTAGCTGCATTTCAGACTCAGCAGGTGCACATTCTATGCTGTGATGGAGAAGCAAATAAGTCTGTGAAACTGGCGAAGCTTTCGAGGAGGAGAATGCTCTATGCCAGGGGTAGGCAACCTATGGCATGCGTGCCAAAGGCAGCACGTGATCTGATTTTCAGTGGCACTCACACTGCCCGGGTCCTGGCCACTGGTCCAGGGGGCTCTGCATTTTAATTTAATTTTAAATTAAGCTTCTTAAACATTTTAAAAACCTTATTTACTTTACATACAACAATAGTTTAGTTATATATTATAGACTTATAGAAAGAGACCTTCTAAAAACGTTAAAATGTATTACTGGCACGCGAAACCTTAAATTAGAGTGAATAAATGAAGACTCGGCACACCACTTCTGAAAGGCTGCCAACCCCTGCTTTATGCGTATGCAGCACCTTCCACCTGCTGATCTCAAAGCACTGAGGTTTCTGCTGCTCTTGTGTGATATTCACTAGTTAAAATGGGATCTTTGTCTTAAAGTGTGAATGCAAGCAGCTCTGCAGTGTTCCTCTCATGCATTTAGTCCACGTTCACTCACTATACAAAGGAGCCATTGTTTCCAGTAATAGAGATGACCAGGCCCTGAAGTTGCACTGTATTATCAAATTTCTAGGCCTGTGACCTCCACCCCATAGTATCCCAGGTGGTACTATACCATGAGATGGGCTAGCATGCTCACCACTCCACCACCCCTTCAAAATGTGTGTGTGTTTAATAGCAGCAGCAACTCTACCCTTCAGTGCAAGACTCTCTGAGCCAGAGCCTCAGCTGGTGTAAATTGGTCTAGCGCTATTCCCTCTGTGTTGATCTTCACCAGCTGAGGCTCTGGCCCTTATGCTTATAAATTCCTCAAAAATGTCACTTCATGTAAATTACAGTCCCGTAAAATCAACTGCAATTCTCTGCAGACCATAATACTTTAGAGTGGGGGTTTCCAAAGCACTCAGAGTTGGCCTAACTCTGCTCCCATTGAAGTCAATGGGATTTTTACCTGTGCAGCTTAGACTAATTTTGATCACTCTGGAATGGGTTACCTAGGGAGGTGGTGGAATCTCTTTCCTTAGAGGTTTTTAAGGTCAGGCTTGACAAAGCCCTGGCTGGGATGATTTAGTTGGGTATTGGTCCTGCTTTGAGCAGGGGGTTGGACTAGATGACCTCCTGAGGTCCCTTCCAACCCTGATATTCTATGATTCTATTATTCTAATTTGAAAATCCCACGTGTAGCATTCCAATTTGCATGTCTGGTTTCTTACCTCACTTAATCGACAGCACTCATCCATGTACTCATCCAGGCTGTCGCTTGTGGGATATTTTTTGAGCTGATGTCCATGGAGCTGAAGTTCTTGCATCCTCCCAAAGGTCTCTTTGTAACGGTTGCTGATTGGCCTTTGCTCTTCTATGTGGGCAGCAGCTGGAGGAGTGTCTTTAATGGAAAGGTCTATCTCTTTCCTGGGTTTCTCTTCCAAATATTGTCCTTCACTTTGGCCAAAAAGTTTATTAGGACTTTCTCCCTCCTGACAGTCACTGAAATCTTCCAGGGAAGCTGTAGGGATCTGCACCACATCTGCTGCCTGGCTGTAATATTCAACTTGCTTTTCACTGTCTGAAGCACACTGGCTGGTTTCTCTGATGTCTTTACACTTTCTCATTATGACATGGTCAATTCCCGGAGAAGAAGAGGTGCTGAGCACTCCGGAGTCACAAGACGAGTCTCTGGTGTGAAGCACAAAGCTCTTCTCGGAGCCCGTTGGTGTAGACGGAGAATTGGCTCCACTTGGCAATTCAACCCCAGAATCCTCTGATTCAAATTTGGAGAATCTGTGAAGCTGGCACTTGGACTCTAAGGTGCTGAGGTCAGACAGCATGGCTACATAGTCTGGTTTTGAAGAGGTGTCTCTTGTGCCCAGATTTCCCTGGCATTCTAATGGGATGTCGACTTTGGGAAGCCTGGATTCCGCTGCAAAGTCCATGGCTGCAGGTGGCTCTCCTGTCAACCCCTGGGTTTGACTCTCTTCATTGCTCAGTATCTTCATGTTGGTCAGCACTACCTTGCCCTTGGATTGTGGGTTCTTCTTGCCTGCTAAAACACAAACAAGCTGACAGTCACAAAGAATTGCAAAATTCAGTCTGCTCCATAAAGCTTCCACTGTGGGGAAGCAATGGCAAATCGTCTCCTTACTCTCTTTCAAAACAAATCAATAGTGGGCAACACTTATTTTGGAAGTTACAGCTTCAGAATGTGTCACAGCTGCTTGTTACATTCATGGCTTATGCAGGCATTAGACAAACTTCAGGTGCCTGAGAGTAAGTTCCAATAATATGTGTGTATGTGTGAGTGAGAGAGACTTTTCCCAGCAAATTCTATTATGTGCATAGAGAAAATGTCACATACCACAAATACAGGTTATTAGTATGCAACACAAAGGCTCTCCACAGTAATGCAGTATTAAGGGCAGCACAGGTCTGTGTACCTAGAGTCTATAAGCAAGCAAGCCTCTTATAGCTCCTTCCTTAGAGGTTTTTAAGGTCAGGCTTGACAAAGCCCTGGCTGGGATGATTTAGTTGGGAATTGGTCCTGCTTTGAGCAGGGGGTTGGACTAGATGACCTCCTGAGGTCCCTTCCAACCCTGATATTCTATGATTCTATGATTCTAGCAGTATTGTGTTTTATGGACACAATATCCTTCAGGGAGAGTCATCATTGCACATAATGTTCCCAAATGCTGAATTTTTCATGTGGGTATAGGACTTAACTGACAGTTGTGAAAAAATCAGATAACCCCTTAGTGATTATACACATGCAGATGCTGAAGAGCCCAAGTAATTTAAGCTAAGATCTGCATTAACTTAAACTCAGAATTTTTCCTCCTAATCACCTCTGTCTTTTTCACGCCGTAAAAGCAGGAATGAGCACGACCAAATCTGGTTCTTCTGGCCACTCACATGTATTTTGGGTTAAAATGAATAATTTGCAAGCCATTTAGGTGGCAGTGTGGATAGCCATAGTAACAGGCAGTGACTTGGAAAATGAACCATGTACGTCGGGTGCTTGCTACTCTCTGTATTGTTTAGGTATGAAGTTCTCCCCAGGAATGAGAGTAGTTCATTTAAAGAGAAATGACATGGGAGCAGACTTGACCATCAGTGTTTGCATATGCATGAAGAAGCTTTGCTTTCATGGAGAATGTTTCATAGAATGAGAACACCCTAGCAGCAGGATTTATTGGACTGTGGAATTGTCTCCTGAGGGCCATGCTGGAAACCCATCTCAGGAGTCATTTCAAAATAGACCGGGCCAAATGCTAGGAAATATATTGAAGAACCCTACACCAGTTTAGGCTCCCTTACATTCAGTTAAACCCATTTGTTGACATAGGGGATCCTAACTTTTACATGCTTTTATATCCTCTCTGGGCACTGCACTGAAGCATGAACAGGTAAATGATCACCAGCTATGCCTAGGGAAGTTTTCCAACCTCTCCAATCGCTGACAGAAGTATTAACCCTTGGAGGATACTCAGAAGGATCCAGATAGAAATAGAAGGAGGGATCTTTGAGCAAGTGGGAATAGGTCACTGCCTTAGGGCATTTTCATCGGTATGATGGCCCTCAGGCTGTGGAAGAGAAGGTGTAATCTCCTCCTACATGAGGGGACAGGGTAAGGGAAAGCCAGAAAACCCATGGTTAATGCATCCAGTGCCACACAAAGAGCACCTTCAGATCAGAGCCCCACAACATTCCCCTTGGAAGTGAGGGACGTTGTTCCCAGACATGGGGTCAGGTTGTGATACTTCCACATACACTGCATAGGACCACACATCACAGATAGCTTCCCTAATCAGTGTCGGGGTATCACAGTGTCCTTGGTGAATGACCTCTGGCAATTGGCAAACTCAAAGGAAATTTGCCTTTGATATCAGTCGTTGTTTTACAGTGGGAACAATACCTCTTAATGCCAGTCAGTGACATTTAGGCCCTGGTTCTCCTCTCACTTTGCTCCAGATTTGCACCACGGTAAGTGAGAAGACAGTCAGGTCCCAAGTGTGTAATGAAAAGGTCACTAAGATAGTCCCTGCACCAAAGAGCTGACAATCTTTTATTCTGTGTTTGTACAGGGCCGAGCACAATGGGACCTTGGGCCATGACTGGGGCTCCTCGTGGTACAATACCCATAATAAACAATGATAGCTATAGCAAACAGTGGCTGGAGGAGAAAATGAAATGTTTGTCACAGTCTAGAATTCGCTCACTTTTCACTTCCCCTTTGCACTAGGCCCCCGCTGGTACAAATCGACATAGCTTTCATGGGAGCCGGGCTGACTTGCACCAGCGGAAGATCTGAACCCCCATTTCTTTTGTGTCTTTCCAGCTAACATTTTACAACCCAAAATGCCCATTTCAATCCAAGATGGATGCAAACTAAAGCCCTGGGTCCAACCCCTGGTGAACTCTGCAAAAGCCCAGAAACTCATTGAAATACAAAGTTTAGGTCATTGTGACACAGCACAGAGAGGGGCTACAATACCACACTCCACACATATATACACCTAACATTATACATCCGGTTTCATTTCCTTCCATTCCCCGTACTCTCTTCCTTCCTTTTTTCACAAACCATCAGCCATGTCAGACTGCTTTTCCTGATGATGTGATGGTTCTTCACTAGGGAGGAAGGGAACAAAAAACTACAGCTAGAAGGAAGAGCGTTCAGTAGACACGTCTCAGAATGTCCCAGAGACCCCATCTCAGCACCGTGCTCTCGTTCATTCCTCCTCCTGCTTTGCCCCATCACTCCAGCTTTTCCTGCTAACAGAGTCACTGGGCCTCAATAAGGCCAAGCTGGATATTACAAGAACTTTTTTCAGTTTTACTGATGTGCCTTCCATTTGCTGTAAAGTATCCATCAGGATTCCCTGCTCCAGTTTAATAACATCATCTGATATTGTATATATAGTAGCAGGTTCGGTCACTTCAAACTGAGATTTTCAAAGGTGTTTAAGGGAGTATGGGGTCCAGTCCCATTGACATTCAGGAGGAATTGGGTATTTAACTCTAGTCCTCTATGAAGATGCTGGTATTACCAACTAAGGAACTGAACCTATACACACTGAAGGCAATGGAGGCTTTGCCACTTGTCCCTGTCCCCTCTCACTTGCCACTGAAATGCAGCTAGCTCTGGGATGGAGCCTGGCACCTATGCAGCAATATACAGCAACACTACACAGTGATTTAGGACAAGAGGAATGTCATATCCTATTGAAACTCCAGGGGAAACTTAGCTGGGAGCTGCCTGAGCTGGGTTAACACCCTTACTCTTGTCACAAATGCCCCAGGAATGTAATTGACCACAAGGGATCAGGAACTAAGTTTTATATTTCACCCAAATAAAAGCACTTCCAGCAACAGAGTGCCTCACATCACTGAGCTGGGGAAGGGTTTATTCACTGCTGTGTCGGAAGCGTGCCACCTTCTCAACCACAACCTCCTCTTTACTGACCCAATGACATTGCACCATTATTGCATGTGGAATAAAAGGATAGTGGGCATAATTGATGGCAGCACTATGCCGAATGGCACATTAAACCCCAACATAAAAACCAAGTTAGAATCAGGAAGAGAGGAAAGTCAGTGCTGGGTTTTATTTTTAAGAACAAATTATGCAGCCATCATCTTTCCACCAAGGAGAAAGAGTTATTATGGACAATAACATTCCTTTCCAATAGGCTTCCGCATTGCATCTGACTGTTAATCAGGCCATGCATTTGCTTCACTGGAGAGTCCCTCATGGTCTTTCAATGTGTTCCTTATTTCTTGCTGAACTGGTTTCCCCCTGGTCTACGCTCAAACATTTTTGTTGGAAATGGGGAAGCGCCATAATAAATTGAGTTCTCCCTTGATACCAAAGTTGCTGCAGATGTGCTGATTCATAATGCTAGATGACTCTAAGAACAGTATGTAGTGTGGACAGGCTGGTGGTGGCAGAAGCAAATGAACAAATACAGAAGATGAAATCTGACCATCTAGGGTGCTTATGGAGCTCCTGTCACCATAGAAGCTGAGCCTGAGCACCTCAAAATCTCGAATGGATTTTCCTTCAATCCCCCTCACAGCAAAGAAGATGCTATCCCCATTTTACAGATGCAGGACAGAGACTCAGGCTATGGCTACAGGACAGAGCTTACAGCGGCACAGCTGTGGCACTGCTAGTGCAGATACTCTACACTAATGAGAAAGAGCTCTTCCGTTGACTTAATTACTCCAGCCCCCACGAGCGGCAGTAGCTATGTCAGCGGGAGAAGCTCTCTGCTAACATAGCACTGTCTGCACCAGTGCTTAGGTCGGTGTAACTTACGATGCTCATGAGGGTGGCTTATTTACACCCCTGAGTGACATAACTTATACCGCCATAAGCTGTAATGTGTACATAACCTCAGTAATATACCCAAGGTCCCACCGGAAATCCCTTCAGGCAGAGGCAGGAATTTACCCCAACTCTCGTGCATTCCAGGCTAGCACCTCAACCACAAGATCATCCTGTTTCTCCTTTCTGGAGGAACGATTTCTTTTTCATTTTCACTTAATGGTTCTGAGCCTGAAAACCTCATCCTTCCAAGGAGCCACTCCATTTTTCCAAAAGAATGAAGAGAGCCACACAGACTTTTCTGTTTCTCAGAGCTTTTAAGCAATGAACACAAGAGTGGTACAATCACAGCTCATATGTTTGAATATTAGCAAAGGGCCAGATCTTCAGCTGGTGTAAATTAACATCATTCTACTGAAGTCAGTGGAGCTGTGGTAGTTAACACCAGCTGATAATCTGGCCCACTAAGACTCCAAAGTAAAGTGGAGATGATGGATCATTCACCTACCTCTGTAACAATGCACCTCTGGGACAGAATGAGGCAAGCACACTGCACAAAGGTTTTTAAACACAGACGCGAGGCATAACTTCTCCAGTTAGTTCTACAAAGCGAATTAACAGTGGTAGAACATATTTACCCGTTGCATTTGGCCAGGCTACCACGATCAACACTTCCTGTGAAAGCTGCCAAAAGGTCTTGGTTTCAGATCCCATCTGAG